AATAACGGACACAAAATATAATTCATAGAATAGTACAATATACAGCATTTACAATTCCACATCCAAAAGCTGCCTGTATTCTACCAAGGGTTGAAATCAGTGAAACCTGAGTTATAGCATGAGTCTTTCAAGTAAACTAAGTAAACTGTTACCGCGGCATGTCAATATTAAACTGTTGATAACAACCATGGTAAAGAAAAGTAAATCATGTACTACTGCTTTATGGAGGTAGTGAGCTCTACTGGAAGGTAAACTATCACACCAGATATTTTACGTTATGTAATTGTCTCATGAAAAGAAAAAGAAATGTAAAACAATGTTGTGCAAACAGTTAGTTGATCTCATTGTCAACCTAGTCTTGGTTTGCGACTCAATGCCCAAAGTCTTGATCTGGATCTTGGTCAGAGCCTAGTTTTGGTTTGGGTCTCAAAAGTGTATTTATACTGTATACACATGGTCTTGGTTTGGGTCTCGAGGGCTTTAGTCGTGACTCCATCCATCTCTTCACTCAATCTCTACATCACTCCCACCCAGTACCCCATCACCAGGGACATTAGCGACCCAATGATGACGATGATGCTGTTATAGATAGGCCCACTGGATGCTCCATAGTAGTACTCCATATCCCCAGAGCCCTCTGGTCCTTCATAGCCACCAGGCCTGGGGCCATACCCTCCAGCTCTGGGGTACCCCCCATAGCCTCCCCCATAGCCTCCATAACCACCTCCATACCCTCCATATCCTCCTCCGTAGCCAGGACGACTCAAGGCACTGCCCAGCATTGCTCCCCCCACGGCACCAGCAGCAGCAGCACCTGCCATATTCCGCGCACTGGAGCCGCTGGAGCCTCCACTCTGGGCAGGCATTGGTCGGTATGCCTGTCCGCTCGAGGATGGCATTGGTCGGTATCCCGTGCCTCCACCTTGACGAGGGTAACCCCCACCTCCACGGCTACTACCGCCCCACCCCCCACCGAAGCCCCCACTACGACCGAAGCCCCCACCACGACGAGCCTCTGAGGTGGGGCAGAGGGTTGCTAGGAACAACAGGCAGGTTGCCACAGTGAGAAGTCTCTGTTGGCCAACCATCCTCATTCCCTGTGAAAACAAGATCATGAATGGTTTGTGATTGATGAGAATATCCCACATTTCCACACTAGTGCTGGGTCATTATCAAGACAAGAACAAGACATGAGCATGACTGTGTGTGTATGAAGTAGGATACCCCTACGAGCTAATCCAGTGTCAGTTTGGATTAATACCACCTGTGGGTTGATTGACAAGGGAAAGCTGATCCCAGATCTGTGTTGTGTCAGCTACCAGCCTTAAGACCCCCACAGTGACGTAATGCCTGCATTCATCAGCTAGTCTGGACAGTCTGTCCAGTGATTAGTACAGTGGAACATAACATACACACACACTCATTTGAGTATGGTAGAACACAACGTACACACACACACTAATGTTTTCGTCACTGCAGGCTTTGAGAATGTGCTAAGTAAAGGGTATTTTTACACTAGAGACAAATTAAGAGCAGGGCAGAGCGAGCTGCGGCTGCTAATCCAACTTTGACAGAAGAGTGTTACATTACATTTACGTAGATGCTCTTATCCAGAGCGACTTACAGGAGCAATTAGGGTTAAGTGCCTTGCTCAAGGGCACATCGACAGATTTTTCACCTAGTCGGCTCGGGGATTAGAACCAGCGACCTTTCAGTTACTGGCACAACGCTCTAAACCACTAAGCTACCTGCCGCCCCAGAAGTCAACACACTATAGCATAGATAGGATCTAACAACTCAACAGTATATAAACTCAGGTTGGTACCAACTCTGGTTCTAGTCTAGTATGAAAAACAACAAGGGGATTGAAGGGAGAGTTTCTACTGTCAACATTTTGGCTCTTAAACCTTTTTCAATGCGAGTTGACAATAATCCTTGTCAATCCCCTTTTTTTTGTATTTCAAAACCCAAGAGATACATTTTCTACTTGGTCAGGGGATGATCACTAGACCAATGCCATAACAGATTAACTTCACAAGTACCATGTTACTACATCTCAATAATGATCATATGGTTTTTACCTCCATAATCAATCTCCTTTCTCTACCTCTCTCTCATCTCTCTGTGCGCCTCTCTCCTCTGTCACCCTTACTCAGACCTCTTTACCACTGTAATCTATGTCCTCCCTAAAATTGTCTGTCCTCCTCTCTCCTCTCTCCCCATCATCATCACACAGCATTACAGTGTAATCTGTGTCCTTGGTGCCAAGGCTATCCTTATCCCTTAGCCTTTTGTCTTTAGAATAATCCCACACAGTAGCTTTCCAGTTTCCAAGATTACCTACTTTGTTAATTAGAGATCAGTGGAGGCTGGTGAGAGGAGCTATAGGAGGATTGTAATGCCTGGAGTGGAATTAATGGAACGGTATCAAACATATAGAAACCACGTTTGACTACGTTCCATTAATTCCACTCCAGCCATTACAATGGGCCCATCCTCCTATAGCTCCACCCACCAGCCTCCACTGGTAGAGATTAATTCAGAAAACAGAGAGTTCTATAACTTCCCTCCTGGTTCATTCAGAAAACAGAGAGCTCTAGAATTTCCCTCCTGGTTCATTCAGAACACAGAGTTCTAGAACTTCCGTCCTGGTTCATTCAGAACACTGAGAGTTCTTGAAAGTTGTAAATGTAATCCTTGTTCATTCAAAAAAGGGAGAATTCTAATCTAAAATATCGCTCCTACTTCACACTCTTTGAATGAGTTTGGACGGATGTTAATAGTTTGTCTTTAGCCTCTTAATGATCCAATTTTGAATGTTTACTAACTTTATCTGGACAGCTCTACATAGCTTTTGGTAACTGTTTAGGCATGGTGTAAATGTCTATATAAAATTATTCAGACTAACATTTCACCACTATAGAATGAGTTATACAAGTGACAATACAACTGGGTCAAACAATGGCAAATAACACAAATGACACACGTGATGTACCTGCATTAATGCATCTTGGTATTTGTATTTTCCAAGTCCCTGATAACAGTTACAGTATGCTACATCATCAATAACACTGATTTAAATATCTTTAGAAATGATAGAATGATAACAATAATGTACATTTCACTGCAAACACTAAGCTAAAAGCAGTAGTGAGTGTTGAAACTCTTACCTGTAGAAGTTGACAAAGAGCTGAAGAAAATCACAGATTGGTCAGAGGATGTCCGTTGCTTGTTCTGTTGTCCTTTTGGCTCTCTCCTTTGTGTGTGTGATCGTCAGTGATTCCTGTCTGTCTGGGAGAGAGAGTGTGTGGGACGGGTCTCTTCAACCTCCAAATGGTCTCAGCCAGGTAGAGAGGGGATCTATCTCTGACCTCCTCATTGGCTGAGCAGGATAAACAATGATGCTCATCCCTGCTAACACTGTAGTGTTATGGTAAGCCCCTGCCCCACCAACACAGGAATAACTGCAAACCTATCTGTACACTTAGCCAAAGATAACCTGTGTGTGTGTGTGTGTGTCTCAGCCCCTAACCCACCAACGGAGTAGAAACTCAAACGACCTGTGTGTGTGTGTTTAGCCTGCCGTTAATGTAAGTCTCCTAACCTACCAAAACAGACAGCAATACTCCAGAGTAATATCATACAGCTTTGATTTAACAAGTATTATACAACCAAGATAACATGGTTTATACCCACTGTCCCAAAAAGGCTAGACTCAGTACAGACCAAATAATCATTATTGTAAAAAACTACATTTCCAAATAGTGGCATGTGTCTTTGAAGAGAGTTTCCCCAAAGGAGCACTCAGTCAGAAAGTCAGAATGCAACATTAAAACAGCTAAAATACTGTATCAGTCTTGATAATGTCAGTCTTGAAAGAGCCATAGAAATTGAAAGGACAACCATACATGCACACAAGCACACACACACGCTCACACACAATATACAGCAACCTTTTAAAAGCTGAGGGTAGATATAGGTGTAACAGAATTGTTGTACCACATCTCAAAGTACTGTATAAAGTCATACACATGCACACAGTCACACAGATCAATATCTACCAGGCAAGTATTTTTTACATTCCACTAGAACAGGTTAGGAGACAGTTTTAGATGAACTGTGGCAAGAACAATCCTGAAGTTACATTACAGTTACAGCCTCTGTAGAGCTGATCATTAAGATAGTACTGTACCACACTGGTGTGACAGGCATGTTTCAACATCACATACTGTCACAGGACAGGAGTCATTCAACCCCTCCCACTGACTGACTGGGTGGGTGAGAAACTCATCTAGTGTGGGATGACACTGAGTCTAAGGCAGGTTCTGGTTTGGAGAGGGAGACACAACTAGTTATCTGCAGGTGGCAAAATAGGGCTTTGGTCAAAAATAAAAAATACAAATATGTAAGGAGAGAGAGGTAGAGAGAACAGGAGAGGGAAAGTGAGAGAACTATATCTCTAACTCAATAGAACTAAGAAAGCTGGTTTTGCACACTGAGAGATGTAGATGTGCTTGAGATTATTTTGCATCTGAGTGGTATAGGACATAGGGCAGGCTCAATGCCCCATACAGACCCACAAGAGAAAAGTGCCAACCTTTACCTTCATTATAAACCATTATTATTGCTGATATTGGTACAGTTAATATGCAGATAGCACGACAGAGAGGCAGGTATGTCAGAGAGGGATTGGGACAGCAAGGAGGATATGTACTGTTTGTTCATGGTATGGACGGAAAGAGCAGACATCATGTTTCAAAATGACCCTAACCTCAACAGAGGAAGGTACCACAATGCAGCGCACACAATGAGTACACTGTCCCTATGGAGGTCTTGGAAGAGATTAAAGCGAGGTTGGAATGGATGCCTCTCCTCTGGGTGGTTCTTGGTCACTCCTGTTTGGTGCTTGGGACGGAGTCTGGGATTGGGAGGGGTAGCTAAGGAGTTTAGGGAGATTTGGGGAAGATCTGGTGGTCCCTCCCTAGACCAGATCACATACAGGTAGTCTCCTCAGGAAGACAACGCATCTGCTTCTCAATGATACACCGCAGAAATGTATACCTACAGATAGAGAGAGAGAGAGAGAGAGAGAAAGAGAGCGAAAGGGAGATAGAGAGAGAGAGGGAGGGAAGAGAATGAGACATAAATACACAGTAGATGACACCATTGACAGCTATTCAGGAGAGGTAGGTATATGTTGCCTGCACCTCACCTGCTCCTGAGTTTCTGCACCTCCCGGTCCTCTTCCTCCTTCAGCTTGGTGATGAAACTCTGCAGCACCGGCATCTCAAACTTAATATACTGCGCCACCTGCTCAGGAGGAGGGAGAAATGCAATTACAAACACAGACTTAGCCTGAACCCTCAACTATTATGAAGTCACAATACTGTAATTATAACAATTACATAAAGGATGTCATACATAGTCATAATAGCTTATTTCGGATGTTATACATAGTCATAATAGCTGTCAAGCCATTGTTGAGGACAACTAATTGGCTTGGCTTGCAGACCCCTAAGCTGCTTAAATTAAGTAAACTATGGTTTTGGTTTGACTCGTGACTCTGTTATGGTAAAAGGTATATTTCAATTCTAGTCTAGTGCATAAATAGCCCACTGCAGGTTATATTGAACTGAGCCCTTTTGTAATAGAAAAGGGGACAGACAGAATATTATATTCTGAGGACGTGATTTAGTTTATGGGTACTGAGAAGTGGGGAATGATTTAGCAGTTACACAGTGGTATGTAGGCGAGGAATGATTTAGCAGTTATACATTAGCAGTCTTACATTATAGGTGACTTCCTCTCCCAGGTCCTGCTCCATTAGGAAGATTCTGCTGACCTGTTCACACGGACCCTGAAGCACACGCAGCACCAGGGGGTAGTCACTGCGCTTCAGCTTTACGCGCTCTGAAAGAAGAAACATCGTCAAACCTTTACTGCATTACAACGGGTGTGTTTAAGTTGTGCTAGTAGATTGCCATGTTTTACCACAGAGCTGCAGCACTTTCATACGCGCACACACACACACACAATTAATAACGCATACTCTACTCTAGGATAAACACAGACATAGCTCACATTGACCCTGTGAAAGGGAGAAAGTGATTCAGCTTCACACTCTATGACAGATACGCAACCACACAACACCACACTCACTCACTCACCCCCGCTGGTGTGTACAAGGTACAGTGCAAAGTCATCTGGGCTATTCTCAATCTTGAACTTGTTAAGTAGCACTCGTAGCACCTGGGGCGTGGTCATACAACTGTTGATCCGCACGTTAGTCACTGAACCATACGCTGGAGTGAAGACTGCAGTCTGAAGGGGCGATGGGGGCAGCACAATTATGAGAAGGGGAGAGGAATGAGAGAGAGAGAAAATGTGTTTATTTGTGGTGTTATGTTCTCGTTGTACTAGTGTGTAGCTGCAGTATTATGGTGTGTGTATGTGTGTGCGTGCATGCATGCGTACCCTGTGATTGTAGAAATGTCCATTGATGGAGAAGCGGTGTCGTCGTATCCTCCTCTGGTCACTAGACGACCGGCGCTGGCCCCTCCTCAGAAACCCGGCATCGCTCTTCGTCCTCAGCAGCTGGGCGGAGCGCTCATATTCCTCTGTCCAATCAGAGCATAGAGATAGGGAAAAGTGGAGGAGTCAGAGAATCACGTTCCTAAGAACATCACAGAATGTTCTAAAAATGTATTGTGTTGAACAGGCATGGCTATCTAATGTAGGATAAATAATTGAGTTATCCATAATAACATGCTGAAGGTTTTCAGATTAGTCTTCTATAAGACCCACCTTCTTCCTCATCCGCCTTCACAATGCTGTCCTCTGATTGGCTCTCGTGCTCTGTCACTTCTATGGTGGGCGGGCTCTGCTGGGCACCTTCATTGCTATTGACATAGAGCAAACATGAATATTCCCATATTTAATAGCTTGACATTATTTATGACACATTATCTTCTGTTCAAAGTTATTCTACATCAAAGTGTAAATGAGACAGGCAGAGGAACAGTGAAATATGGTCTCTATGTAATCTGACCGCTAGCGTTGGTAAAAACATATACCTTTTATACATACAGTACGTAGTACATTTCTAGATGTTGCCTTGGTACGGTAAACAGAGCTCACTCCCTACCTCTGATTATCCAGGGCACAGCCGGAGTGCCAGGATGTAGAGAGAGGAGGTCTGATTCGCTCGTGATCGTCCTGCATCTGCAATCTGATAGGTCGACGCAGGCCCCAGGAGATATTCAGCAAACCCTCCACGATCAGCTCCCCTTCCTCCTGTAGAGACAAGAGTTACCATGATCCATAAACACACACACACACACACACAGAGAGACAGTTATTACCCCTTTGGGGCAGGGTGAATTATTGATAGGTCTCATGAACTCACTCAATAGTGTTCACCGATGGTTAGCTAGCTAGTTAGATGCATCTTTAGAGAGAGAGAGAGAGAGAGAGGAGAGAGAGAGAGAGAGAGAGAGCGAGAGAGAGAGAGAGAGAGAGAGAGAGAGAGAGAGAGAGAAAGAAAATAAGGAAGAGAAAGACTATAAATGCAATAAAGAGAGGTGAAATAGGAGGGTGCAGCTATCAGACAATTCTCACTGTTACTCTCAATCACATGCACCAACACACACACACACAAACGCGTGCGCACCTCTCTGTGTCTCAACTGCAAGTTATGTCCTTCATAATAGAGGTTGTAGGTTTTGAGGTGGGACAGGACTGTTGCCCTGAAGACAGAAATAAAACATTCCTGACAACAATCCATTACTTTACACACATTTTAATATTATACTTTTTGTTATTATTACACACGTCTGTACAAACGTTGTGTGTGTGTGTATGGCATACTTGCTGATGAACTTGTTGTCTCCGATCTGAACCCCATCCTGCATGTTATCCATTTTCAGTCAGCATGAGAGGAGCTAGAGACAGAGAGAGAGACAGAGAGAGAGAGAGAGAGAGAGAGAGAGAGAGAGAGAGAGAGAGAGAGAGCGAAATGGTGATCGGATGTTTTTAAACAATGTGAATAGATACTGAAGAACAAGGATTCAATAGAGAGAGAGATTTACTTTGATAGGTCTCATGAACTCACTCAATAGTGTTCACCGATGGTTAGCTAGCTAGTTAGATGCATCTTTTAGCCAGCCAATCTGTCAGTGTGAGATGGAGCACACAATCTCTAAACAATCTCTCTCTTCCTCTTTTCCTCCTCTTCTCTCCTCCACCATCTGTCTAAAACACACCACACACAGAAAATCACTAACACACACGGAAGCTTCTGTGGTGACCATCACACACACACATATGTTGAACTTTTAATTTAACATGGCATGCTGCCAGCACTCTCAGATGTTTCCTTCCTGCCCAGCTGAAACAGTGTGTGTGTTAGGGGGCAGCACAGAAGCTTCCAGACGGACAAGAACAGGTGCATGAATAATTTCAGTTGCATACACACACACACACACAGTGTCTCAGCCTTGTCCCAGGGACCAGCAAGCTACGTTCCTCCTCCTTGAAAGACCTCTTAAAATCACTTCTATTAGCACATACACTCTAACACACACTGTTATGCTACCCAGTGTATCTTGCTACAACTACTATGACAGGCTACCTCCCTATTTCATTGCTGAAATAGTGTATGTGTTTGTGTGTGTGTGTGTAGAAGGCCACTGTGTGGCTTACCGTGCTAAGATCTGTATGATCCTGGTAGGCCAGGAAAGAGAGAGAGAGATCCGCTAGCAGCACAAACACACAATATGTTAGTCCTCAGGGTCCAGTCAGAGGAGTTTACCTGAAGACGGCCCCGACTGGAGCTAGTGAAGCTACTGTGTCCTTTCTGTGTAGGAGAGAGAGAGAGAGAGAGAGAGAGAGAGAGAGAGAGAGAGAGAGAGAGAGAGAGAGAGAGAGAGAGAGAGAGAGAGAGAGAAGAGAGAGAGATATCGAGAGAGAGCGCATCTATTGATCTATAGAGAGAGATAGATAGATATGATACTTCATCTAGATAGTCTTCTCTCTCTCTCTCTCTCTCTCTCTCTCGCTCGCGTCTCTTAGCTCTCTCTCTCGCTCGCTTCGCTAGAGAGAGAGAGAGAGAGAGGCTGTGTATCCAGGGTAGATGACCCAGGGCCTCTAAGGCTTCAGTGTGTTTGTAAAGGAGAGGGGAGAGGCGATGGAGAAAGCACCAGAGAGAGGGGTGGTTGAAGAGGCTGCTTAATAGCAAGTGCTCCCCATCCACTAATCTCTTCCTCCTTTAGAGCCTCAGTCACAGCGGAAACTGACGCTGCCGCTCTGACATGAGAGAGACATCCTCAATTGAAACTACAGACATGAAATATGATATCTCTCTCTCACATACACACACACACATGGACAAAGGCACCTACACACACGCACACAGCTTTTCTCTGAAAGGCTCACACGTACCCCCATTTACAGACAGAGAGAACCATTGAGAGGTATGAAGCAACAGACAACACCCACACCCACAGTCTACCTCACGTGTCCAGCCAATGCCTCACAATCATAAACACATTAAATTATTGTGACCATATGAACAATGTAATACCAATCAACCCACACACCATGCAGCATTATCAATATTTCAGCACCTACATTAGGCCCTGTTCAGCGCCACTGAACAACACAATAGGAGACGTTAGCCTTTAAAGGTCCAATGCTGCCGTTTCTATCTCAATATCAAATAATTTCTGGGCAACAATTAAGTACTTTACTGTGACTGTTTTAAATTAAAATTGTAAAAATAAATAAGAATAGCTTCTTAGCAAAGAGCAATTTCTCAAGCAAGAATTTAGCTAGGACTGTCTGGGAGTGGTGTGAGTGGGAAGGGAAAAATGGAAAACTAGCGGTTATTGGGAGAGAGGTTTGGAACACTCTATTAACCAGGCAGGCCAAAACTCCATCCCACCAAAGCAGGCTGAAATTTCAGTCGTTATTTTCAAACAGTTCATATACTAAAAGGGCATTATCATCATTTTCACAATTTCACAGTATTATTCTAACCTCATAGTGTGGAAATATACAGTGCCTTCAGAAAGTATTCATACCCCATTTTGTTGTGTTACAGCCTGAATTCAAAATGTATTAAATAGATTGTTTTCTCTCACCCATCTACACACAATACCCCAAAATGACAAAGTGAAAACATGTTTTTAGACATTTTTGAAAAAGTATTGAAAATGAAATACCTAATTTACATAAGTATTTCACACCCCTGAGTCAATACATGTTAGAATCACCTTTGGCAGCGATTACAGCTGTGAGTCTTTCTGGGTAAGTCTCCAAGAGCTTTGCATACCTGGATTATACAATATTTGCACATTTGCCTTAAAACTATTATTCAAGCTCTGTCAAGTTGGTTATTGACCATTTCCAAGTCTTGCCATAGATTTTCAAGCTGATTTAAGTCATAACTGTAACTATGCTGCTCAGGAACAGTCAATGTCATCTTGGTAAGCAACTGTAGTGTATATTTGGCCTTGTGTTTTAGGTTATTGTCCTGCTGAAAGGTGAATTTGTCTCCCAGTGTCTGTTGGAAAGAAGACAGAACCATGTTTTCCTCTAAGATTTTGCCTGTGCTTAGCTCTATTCTGTTTCTTTTTATCCTAAAAAACTTCCTAGTCCTTGCCCATGACAATCATACCGATAACATGATGCAGCCACCACCATGCTTGAAAATATGAAGAGTGGCGTGTTGGTGTGTTGGATTTGCCCCAAACATAATGCTTTGTGTTCAGGACATAAAGTTAATTTCTTTGCCACATTTATTTGCAGTTTTACTTCAGTGCCTTATTGTAAACAGGATCCATGTTTTGGAATATTTTTTATTCTGTACAGGCTTCCTTCTTTTCATTCTGTCATATTTATTATCATATATTGTGGAGTATCACGACTTCCTCCGAAGCTGCCTCCCCTCCTTGTTCGGGCAGGCTTCGGCGTTCATCGTCACTGGCCTTCTAGCTACTGCCACTCCATATCTCATCATTCCATTTGTCTTGTCTTGTCAATTACACACACCTGGTTCATATCCCCTCATTAGTACATGTATAAGTGTTCCCTCTGCTCCTCTTGTCCTTGTGGGTGATTGTTATTTGTGAGTTGAGTGTAGCACGGTTGAGCTACCCGCACCTTGTATTTCCGGGGATATTGTTCCCCGTGTGCCTGTATATTGTTGACGCTATCCAGCGTAACTGTGTCCTACGGAATAAACTCTGTATTCGGTGATTTACCCTCCTGCGCCATATCTTCACCATGCTCAAAGGGATATTCAGTGTCTGCTTTTTTTAAACATTTCCCCATCTACCAATAGGTGCCCTTCTTTGCAAGGGATTGGAAAACCTCCCTGGTCTTTTTGGTTGAAACTGTGTTTGAAATTCACTGCTCGACTGAGGGACCTTACATATAATTGTATGTGTGGTGTACAGAGATTAAGTAGTCATTCAAAAATTATGTTAGTCCTTGCAACTTATTATGTAACTTGTTAAGCTCATCTTTACTCCTGAACTTATTTAAGCTTGCCATAAAAAGGTGTTGAATACTTATTGACTCATGACATTTCAGGTTTACATTTTTATTAATTAGTATAAATGTCTGAAAACATAATTCCACTTTTACATGATGGGGTATTGTGTGTAAACCAGTGACACAAAATCAAAATGTTATCCATTTTAAATTCAGAGTGTGGAAAAAGTCAAGGGGTGTGAATACTTTCTGAAGGCACGTTTTTGACTGCACTGGGCCTTTAATACCAAGACCAGGGATGGGTGGCTGTGGCTCAGTCCTTGAGGGTGGAAGTATGTTGGTCCAAGCCAATGGTCCTAGGAATAGGACCCACTACAGGTAGGTTGTTTAAGACTGGACTGTGGCCCAAGAAACCTCTAAAGGCTTTGGTGGGTCAGGGCACAAACATGTGGGAACCCCTGGTCTAGCCTGGCAGTTCCACATCAATAATGAAACGTAGATCTAAAATCTTGCGTAACCGCATCAGTTACTTTATGTTACGTACATCTGTCAACTAGAAATTAATAATGTCTACACTGACACACTACTACTGATCTGTCTCAATTGAGTCTTTCTGCTGCTTGCAGAAAACATACCATGCCTGTTGTTTTGGGGGGGAAACGACTGGCCGTATAAAAAAACAGACAAATTGACCCAACATTGACCCAGGCTGGCTCAGCCCATGGCTCTGTGTTCTGTTACAGTGTTCTGTTCTGCATTCCAGCTGGGATGATGGATTTTGGGATAATGTGCTCTGTTCTGTTCTGTACGGGGGTCCAAAAATAGCCCCCATCCTTCCCCTCCCTCTGCATTCCCTTGAATCCTTCTCTACAACAACCACAGCAACCAAGCCTGTCTCTCTCTCTCCTCCACCCTTTAACAACCACAGCAGCCAAGTCAGCCTATCTCTCCTCCTCCACCCCTTAACTACCACAGCAGCCAAGCCTGTCTCTCTCTAGTCTAAGCATAGCTCTCTCTCTTCCTCCCTCTTTCCGCACAATTACAGTGCCTTCAGAAAGTATTTACACCCCTTGACTTTTTCCACATTTTGTTGTGTTACAGCCTGAATTTAAAATTGATTAAATTGAGATGTTTTGTCACTGGCCTACACACAATACCACATAATGTCAAAGTGGAATTATATTTTCGAAATTAATTAGAAATGAAAAGCTGAAATGTCTTGAGTCAATAAGTATTCAACCCCTTTGTTATTTACATTTACATTTTAGTCATTTAGCAGACGCTCTTATCCAGAGCGACTTACAGTTAGTGAATACATGTTTTTTTATACTGGCCCCCCGTGGGAATCGAACCCGCAACCCTGGCGTTGCAAACGCCATGCTCTATCAACTGAGCTACATCCCTGCCGGCCATTCCCTCCCCTACC